TTACCTCCCCCCCCCCCCCCTCCCCGCGCACACCCCACAAACAACGTCAGCACATTGTAGCAAAGAAAAGGTGTAAATAAACTCATAAAAGCAACATGGGTGCTGCCTGTAGATGTATGTTTCCGAAGGCCAAATGCAATCTGTCTTCTGCATATGTAGGCAGCAATACTAACATCCAACAAACTTCTTCCATGCACATATGATTCCAAGAGGCCAACTCCAAATTTGAAGCTTAACAAAATTGTAGTTTGATGTTGGATTGGTTGTTTCTTGTTGAGCTCCAAAATTGTGGACAGGGAAAACAATCAAGTGTTTCAAATGTTAATGGTGGTACGGACATGGTTATCCTTTTGATGTTGGATGCCATGTGATTATTTTGTTTTATTATCTTTGCGGAGACAAAACTAGGGTTGACAAACAGCAGCTCTTTTATGTAGCTCAAGGTCTTGATCAGTTTACCATGTGTTGTTGGGTCCGGTTATTCAACGTTGATACTCATATAATTCTGGCCCTTCTACCCTCCCCTCCTCCTTTCAGTTCCCGGCTCGATGTGTAGAAAATCCAGGATGGAAAATTGCAGACTCATCATTTTCATTTTGAGGATAAAAAATAGCTGTGTAATCACCAGTTTTGTTACTTTTCAGTATGTCTTACTGTGTCTGAAGTTGCAAATAACTTTTAAAAACAACATTTCTAAGTGGTAATTGTTGCCTTGTGGTTTAACAAATTTGAATAGTCCACAGCTGCTAGTATCTAGTTGGGAGATAATGTACGCATGCAAAAATTTGAACTCGTCTGTTAATGGGTCATCCTTATTCAAGCTTTTCTGTTTGATGCAGAAATGCAGCCCAGCGATGCATGGAAGGTTTGTGCTGGGGGTGAGAGTAAAGAAGTCGACGTTCAGAATAAGAGAATCCGTCGAGAGAGGGAAATCATTTACAGGACAGTCCAGGAAATTCCATTGAATCCCAAGGAACCTTGGGACCGTGAAATGGACCCTGATGACACATTAACCACAGAACTCCCGCTTGAGCAATTACCAGATGCAGAAGGTGCTGAAACAGGTGTGTTGCCGCAGGAGGACAGAGAAACTGAAACTGCTGCATTAGCCAGTACGTCAAATGGCATTGCAACTACAGCAGAACCTGATGTAGAGTTGCTTGCTATACTGCTAAAACATCCAGAGCTGGTTTATGCTTTGACGTCTGGCCAAGGTGGAAACTTGTCCAGTGAGCAAATTGTAAAGCTGCTTGATTCGATCAAAGCCGATGGGAGGAATTCACTGAGCATTCAAACAAATTTAGCCAGAGACGCTGAGAAGAAAGTTGAAGTTTCTCTTCCGTCCCCCACTCCTTCCAGTGATCCTGGAACGGTGCGTTATTTAGTCACATTTTGTACAGATTTCAACTATTATGGAATTTGGGCGGGGCTTTCGTTTCCTCAGTTGTCTCCTCTCCTCTCTCTTTCCCATTTTTTTCTCCACTTCTCATTTATAGTTTTTCCAGACAAGTAAACGAGAAACAAATAAACAAATAAATAAAATAATCATAAAGCAAATGAAGCCTGGACTCTGAATCACGTTGGTAAATACAAGTTGTCTTCCTAGTTAGCACTGTACTTTGAGAATTTCCGCTTAGTTCGAGGTCTCCTTAACACAAACAAGGATGTTTCAAATAAAACAAAATACTTAAATAATATAGTGGGTTAATTGTAGTGCTATACTATCTTCTTGACATCTTAGTACTTTTCTGAAACGGGCTCTAATTTTTTTCAACTTTTTTTTTTGGTCTTTCATGCAGAGTGGATTGTCGATGCAGAACTTTGCTAAAAACCCTTTCTCGCAGAGAAGTTCAATGGTGGTTCCAGAAGCAAATGGTGTACATCAACACGCTGCATTGGTCTATTCGCAGGAAACGCTTCAACCTAGCAGTTTGGTGCATCAGCAGGTCCCCCTTGCGCCACAATTAGCCCAACAGTTGGCACTGCTTCAAGCAGCTGCAGGGTCTTATGGAAATGATCATCGACCATCTCCTCTAAATCCTAGTATAAACCAGACAGTCCTTACAAATCCTATGCATTCACAATTTTCCGCCACCTCAGAACCAGCAGTAAATAGAAATAATTACTCTCCCTTTGGATTGACGGAATACAATCAACAGAGCGCCACTGCAGCAGCAACAGCAACAGCAAGAATCCAAGGTGAAACATATGGTAATATTCGATCTTCGCAAATGTCTATAGCTAATGTGCAACAAAGAACTATTAGCCTACATGCACCTCAAATGACACCACAAAGGCCACAACTACAAACACAGGCGCAACCTGGATATGCACCTGAACATATGTGGGGGACTATACCCGGATCTGCTTTAAATCGGGGTTATCAAGAAAATGCCATTCCTAATCATTACAATCCACATGTTGCCGGACATGTAGAACCAGGATTACAACAGGCTGCATGGAGAGGAAACAGCAACTATTCCGAGGGAGCTGGGTTTGAATCTTGGAGTCCTGATAATAGTCCTGTTAGGCGTCAGGAACAGGTTGCAAGATGGAATTACACACAACCTCAGATGAATATGAGAGACAACTACAGACCTGATTGGTCTGCATCGCGTAATCCTGGGCATTATTCTGGTTATCGTGGTCCTGACGATGGTGGTAATAGGAGGTGGGGTGACAGGAGAAGATAACCTTCAAACGGCTGGCCATTTGATTCTTTTGACGAGTGATTCATTAGTGTTTACATTAGAGTAGAGCGTTCTCAGAGGGGGTTGCATTTTTGCAACGTGAAATGGTTGTAAACTTGTAATGTCAGCATGTCACATCACTTTATTTTGTTTCCCAATTGGTACCTGTCAACAGAAAAATAGAAAATAGGAATTCAGTTCACTTGGGATCATGCCAAGATTCTTTAGAAAAAAAAAGAAGAAATTTATCCTAGTCAAGGGATTGCTATGTCTTGGTTGTGTCCCTACTTAAAATGCTGGGAATAAGTTATTTCGAGATTAATTATTTTGAGATAACCTAAGGAAAATATTTTTAGGTCTGCCTACTATTTTCTAATCAAATGCAGGATAAAATAATTCTGCATTGTATTTGTGGGATTATTATACGTTATATATTACACGAGACGATTTCTTATGAACTTAAAATTAAAGAATTACTAAAAAATAAAAGTGTCATTCTTTTTTAAACACACTAAAAAAGAACAAAGAACGTATGTTAAACAAATTGAAATGGAGGCTAGAGGTAGTATTAATACTCATTCTGTACTAATTTATGAGGCAAATTTATACTTTATTATTGGCGGATGAAAATGAAGTACATGATTTTTTTAAAGTTATATTTGAATAAATTTTAGGGAACTTATTAGTTACAGTTCCTAGTATCTTCTATAGGCAAACTGGCGAAGTATCTGATTCTCTCTTGCTCACAGCTCATGCTAACGACTAATTCTCAACGGCGAAAATCGGTACTTGACCAATTACAACTACTCGCCGGCGTTTCACATCATTTCTTCATCGGAAAACTTCAACAGTAGTCGGAGCAACTCTCCAATTTGATCCAGCTGAAGAATCTCTAAATATGGTAGCTAGATTCATCACAAGCAGTCTAAATCGAATACGAAAAACCTACTCAATATCACCAACTATCAGTAGGCACAATTACGATTTCACTCCTCTATATGTATCTCTGAGTTTCTAATTCGGTGCTGACGATTCAGCTACACGTGTTGTGAATCCGAGTTTCATGCTTCACAATATATGGCATACGGGCGATTCATATTCTCATCATCATGTCCATCATGACGTCCGCTCCGGTATGACGGAGAGAAGATTTTCTGGCTTGGACTTGCTGCTGATATTGGCCTTGCCGCCAGAAAAGCTTTTACAGGTTAAGTATGTGGAAGCACCGCCATTATTGCTGATGCGGCTCATTCTATCTCCGATGTGGTATGTGTGACGTATCTATTGATGTTTATTGTTTATCTAACTTTAATCTATAAAAATGAACTCTGACTTTAATCTCTTGACCATTTGACAATAGAGGTTGTGAGTTTCCAGAAAATGAGCAACATAAAATCTGGTTTTACTTTCTATTAAACAAGTCGAACATAAGTTTGATAGAACTTGATAAACCAGCAAAAAAGTTATTGATGAAAGCAAACTGGATACTTCATTATAAATTCCAGACTAATTAATAGAGTTCACAATCTCAACTGAAATAAAACAAAATAACTTCTAAGAATTAGGGATAAAACTGCTACACAGATTACAGCGAACTTAGACTGTTGCAGTTTTTATGCATTTTTGTAACACTCTTTGCTTTAAGACCTGCAAACTCCAAGGTTTTGCATGAGAAGTTAAATTTGTTGCCTGGTAAACGCTTGGTGAAGATATAAGCCTGCTGGCCCTCATTTTTGCAATAGAGAAAACTCACATCACCATTTTTTTGCATTTCTCTTATGAAGAAAAGCCTGATATTGAAGTGTTTAGGTTTACCATGAAATATAGGATTGTGAGAAATTGCAATCGCAAATTGGTTGTCCACATATACTTCAGTTCCTTTTGTTTGATTCATATGCATTATCAACCAATATTTTCCTCAACCACAACACTTGATTCACTGCTGCTATTGCAGCCACAAATTCTGCCTCTGTAGTGGATTGAGCCACAATGAGCTACTTCATTGATTATCATGAAAAAAATACCTAAACCACAACACTTGATTCACTGCTGCTATTGCAGCCACAAATTCTGCCTCTGTAGTGTTGAGCCACTATGAGCTACTTCTAATGCTTTGTTATGGCCTTTGCAGGTTCTGTGTGGTGTGTCATTGCTGTCCTTTCAAGCTGCAAGGGTTCCCAAGGACAAAGAACATCCATGTGGTCACTCTTAATTTGTATCTACACGTAAACTCTTTTGATCTTACATCACTTTCTGTACATGGCTTTATCTTTTGATTTTGTGCTTGTGTTTACTTGTGTAATAGGTGGATGTAATAGCTGCCAACGTAATTAGATTTAGTTAACTGAGGACTGTTCGTTCCCGTGGTTGATTTGATAAAATTAACCAATATATGATATTGTAATAGAGGTGATATGATATGAATGTTATATCATATCTTCTATATTTATCAATGAATACAAATCTTATCAACTTTACGTCTTAGTGGAAGGCAGACAGCCCTAGAAACATGTAAATATGAGACTCTTCGAGCTCTTGGAATTTCTGGTGTGCTGTTGGCTACTGCTGGTGGCATAGGATGGCATGCTTTAGATGTTTTGCTGGTATGTATCTATGGCTAGTATTCATTATGTCTAGGAGTCTATATTCCCATTGTTTGAAATTTTTTGAGACATTTCTTGCAGGGATTGTGGTCTGCAGCCTCTGAAGTTGTTAATCAGTCAATGACTCCTCTGCACGTGCATGAGCAACATCATCATGGAATTGATATGGATCACCCTATCCTTGCTTTGAGTGTGACAATACTCTCTATAGCTGTCAAAGAAGGGTAAGATTCATTTTCACCTTCAATTTGAAAATTAAAAGAATTTGTTCCCTTTTCTTTATGTATCCATATACATATTACCTTCAAGCAATTTTATTTTTATGAAAGAGAGTTTCTTTGTATTGATTTATTTTTTATGAAAGACAGTTTATTTGTACACCATCAACGAATTTCCATGACCATATTCCAGACACCATCAACTGTATTTTATGTTATGAAATGCAGTTGCTTTATATTGATTACAAAAGCAATAATGAAGCTTCTATACTTTCTCTCAGATGCGCGGTAGTATAGCAGCTTCATTAATGAAGCAAATAATGAATCTGTGAGTTTGTTCCTATATATATGTTCAACTTTTTTCTTGTAGATCATACTGGATAACAAAAAGAGAGGGAGAAAGGGTTGGCAGTGGGTTAATTGAAGCCAATGCCTGGCATCTGCCGATGCAGTATCCTCCTTTGTTGGTCTCATAGGGGATGGTTGTTGAATATTGTTTGAGACGACGGGCACAATCGACTTCTAACAACTTGAATTTTATTATATCAAAGTAAGGACTCGCTTCGGTCTTACAATCTTGATCACACTTGTTGCTTGCTTTAGCAACACTCTTTATTTGAGCACACACTTGTTTGCTCTCTTGCTTTCTTACTTACTTGCTTGCTTACTTGGTTTAATACTTACTTAGTTACAACTAAAATGGACCACCTCTATTTATAGGAGGTGATAGAAGAATCTAGTGATATACATACTACTCTATACTAGAATATTTCTAGCTATTTTTTTCTAGAACTACCTTTTCTAGAACATTTTTAGACTATTCTCTCTAGAATACTCATTCTAGAGATCTTCCTTCAATTCTCTACAACTCCGAAATATTCTAGATTTCTTGATTTATCTTGAGTAAATAATTAAGTTGGTGATGAATTCTTAATACTCCCCCTAAACACCAACTTAATTTTTTCTTTGCGTTTGTTGTGAGCGGTTCCTGAAACCTTGCAAGCATCATGACGTCCATGCCCTTTGAGGATCTCCACTTTCGTTGGATTATTTTGATCCCTACTCTTTGAAGCTTCTTCAAAGGTAGTAGCCTCTTTGATGTTAACCACCTCATTAATGCTGCATCTATGTACTTGGTGTTTGGACGCTTCAGTCGAGTAGACCTCCTCAGTTGCCATTGTGACCCTTTTTGGACTTCTTCTTCTTGCAACTCGTCTGGTGTTTCACAAGCTCCAGTTTGCCATAAGCTTTTCTTTTCCTTTTGTGGAGATACCTCCTGGTTAGTTTCAATCTTGTTCCCTTGTTCTACTTCGTTGAGCTTATCTTGCAGCTTTTGCTCAAGAGCTATCGAGTCTGGCAGGGAGACTTCTTTGGACCACCAAGATGACGCTTCGTCAAATACCACATTTCTTGACACATATGTCCGATTAGTGACAAGGTCACAACACTTCTATCCTTCTATTTGTTCGTCGTATCCAACAAAGATGCACCGAACAACTTTCTTATCAAATTTGCTGCGGAGATGATTTGGCACGAACACATAGCACACATAACCAAAAACTCGAAAGTGACTTACAATAGGGATCATTTTTTTAAGTTTTTCAAATGGTGAGATGAATCTCAATCTTTCCTGCTGCAGCCTGTTGGTGATGTGGACAATAGTTTTCATGCATTCTGTCCAAAACCTTGCTGGTACATTCATACTATGTAGCATACTTTTGCATATCTCTGCCAAATGTCTATTTTTTCTTTCAGCCACTCCATTTTGTTGTGGCGTATTCGGGCAAGTTAACAGTCGTCTTATCATCTACTTTTTAAGATAATCATTGAACTCTCGTGACGTGTATTCTCCCCCATTGTCCGTACGGAGACATTTGATTTTTCTTCCAGTATCATTCTCCACATTATGTTGGAACCCTTTAAACTTCTCAAATACTTCTCATTTCTCTTTTAATTAGTAAATCCATACGTACCATGAGAAGTCATCAATGAATGCTACCATGTAACGGTAACCACTGATGGAGGACTGCTTCACTGGTCCAAACACGTCTGAGTGTACTAGCTCCAATTGCTTCTTTGCTTGATACTTTGATTCTTCATAGGGAAGTTGATGTGCTTTCCCATATTGACATCTAACACATATAGTGTCTCCTATAATCTCAAGTTTGGGAAGACCTTTTAATTTTGATTGCTGCATCATGATTTTTAGTTTGTTGTAGCACATGTGCCCAAGACGTGTATGCCACAGATCAGCTGTTTCATTACTTCGAGTTTTCTCAACATAAGTTGTCTCGGCTGACATGACGTAGATTGATTCTAACCTTTTTCCTTCCATGATTGGTGTGCTTGTAACTTTTAAGTTTCGATATACTTTTATGTCATTTGGCCCAAACAAGACATAATTACCAGAATCTGTTAGTTGCGATACATATAATAAGTTTTTCTTCATACCTGGAACATGGTAGATATTTTGAAGTTCCACTTGCCTCGAGCTATTATGAGACACAAACACCGTCTTGCCAATATGCGTTATTGGCATTTTTGAATTATTTGCAGTTACCATTACTTAACCGTCTTTACATTCACTCATGTTAATGAGATTTTTCTCATCACCAGTCATGTGATTGGAATATCCTGAATCAACGATCCAATAATGTTCATAATCGACCAATTTCTCATTTACAATTGCAAGTGCAATCTCTTCTTCTTTGTTAGGGTGACACATGACAAGATCCTCTTGTTGATTAGTTTCTTCAACTGTATAAGAGGTCTCGAAATCCCAAATTTCTTCATCTTTCTTGTTTTGAGTAGAATTATCTACATTACCTTCAGCTTTCCTGTACAGTAGTCCTAGCATAGTGTCCTTTCTTTCCACAATTGTAGCATTTCTCCATTTTTCGGTTGTTGAAGCCTTTCGCCTGCTTGTTTTGCCGTTGAGTTCTTTGATGTTGATTCTTTTTCTCTCTCCCTGGCCGCGAGCTTCTCTTTTTTTGAAAGTCTTGCCTTTTGTTGAAAAGCGCCTTATCTTCGTCTTTATAGTGACACTTTATAATGGCTTCTCCAAATCTTCTTCACTTGCCAACAAATTTTCCAACTCAGATAAAGTTGGTTCTGTGGCCCATCCCCATGTAGCTGTAATTATGCCTTTGTATTCCGGCCTTAGACCATGAACAATGATTCTCCTCATTCTCGTCTCTGTGATAGCATTCTCTGAATCTAATTTTGATATTTCATCAGATAAAGATTTTACCTTTGAGAAGTATTGACTGATCGTCATATTCCGTTGAGAGATCGACAAAAGCTCATTTTCAAGTCTTTGTAATCTTGCATCATTTTTCTTTGTAAAAATCGATGTCAAGGTTTCCCAATCTTCTTGGGGTGCCTTGGCATTCTTAATTTGTTGTAGGAACTCATCCTCGGTGGTTACAGTGAGAGCATACATGGCCTTTCCAACTTTGACCTTCTACCTTTTTGCTGCTTCAACATCTGTTGGTGGTGTGGTGTTTGATCCACTGATGATATCCCATAATTCTTGGCCGAGAAAGTAATAATGCATTCTCTGCTCCATGATCCGTAGTTGCTTGTGTTGAGCTTCTCAACGCTATTGAGAGTGCTTGCGAAATCTGCCATTGATAAGTGCCTCACGACTTGTAGCCTCTGACAATAGCTTCTAAGATTTTCTTTACTACCTCGCTCTTATCCACCAGGCTCTGATACCACTTGTTAAATATTGTTTGAGACGATGGACACAATTGACTTCTCACAACTTGATTTTATTATATCAAAGTAAGGACCCGCTTCAGTCTTACAATCTTGATCACACTTGTTGCTTGCTTCAGCAACACTCTTTACTTGAGCACACACTTGTTTGATCGCTTGCTTTCTTACTTACTTGCTTGCTTACTTGGTTTGTTACTTAGTTACAACTCAAATGGACCACCTCTATTTATAGGAGGTGATGGAAGAATCTATAGAGATACATACTACTCTCTTCTAGAATATTTCTAGCTATCTTTTTCTAGAACTACCTTTTCTATAACATTTTAAGACTATTCTCTCTAGAATACTCATTCTAGAGATCTTCCTTCCATTCTCTACAACTCCGAAATATTCTAGATTTTTCTTGATTTATCTTACTTAAATAATTAAGTTGGTGATAAATTCTTAACAATGGTAATGATCTTTATACTCAAATTTGACCTAATTATGTATCTTTTTCTTTTAGCGAACGAGTTTTCACCATTGATTTGTTTAATTGTATCATTGAGAACTAATCAAAATGTGTGTACTGGTTTTACTTTAAGCATGAAATACTAATATGTACTGTGGAGTGTTGCTATTAATTTGGTCTAGAATAGTTTATGATTTTTTATATTCACAATATCATTTTTTATTAATAAAGTACATTTATGTATGTAATGTCTACAATAATTACAACATAGCTAGTGTAGTCGCACAAGTGGGGTCTGAGGAGGGTAGGATGTACGCGGACCTTAGTTCTATCTTTGCGGGGCAGAAAGGTTCTTTTCAATACATCCTTAGCTCAAACGAGAAGGTAATCAAAGCAAGGTTGCAAGGAAATATGACAACAAAAATATCAGGATAGAAAGAAAGCAAATGAAGCAATAGATTGTAGAACACCTTGGAGCATAGGAAACTACGTGATTACTAGATACTACTACTAATAAGGCTATTGGGGGGGTGGGGGATGTGGCTAGCGCTTGTCTCTCCCATCTAAAAATAGGGGACAACACTTGGCTATATACTAGCATTCTACCCTAATTCTTGACTTCCACACCTTTCTATTTATGTCCTCAGTAATTTGGAGTTATGTCATATCCTGTCTAATCACTTCCCCCATCCCAGTTTTTCTTCAGCCTACCTCTACCTCTTTTCTTCTCTCAATTTCTCAATTTGCCCGTCCCCTTGTCAAATCTTTTTCATCTACGGACGTCACGTCACTCTTTGCCTTTTCATCAACAAGGTGGGGAACAAAACAATCCTCTTCTTCTTCTTCCCCCATTTACGTAGCTGCTGTGGAAACCCTAGAATTAATCCTGATGGAATTGAGCTTTGTTCCTCTTCTTCAATTGGTTGTTGAATCTGATGCGTGAATTGGTTCGATCTATTGCTTCGAGGTCGGTCGAAATTTTCGATTGGCGGAGTCTAAAATGGAAAATCAATTACAATTGGCCTTGACCAGTCCTACTACGCCGTTCTCGAGCTTGTTCGACTCGCAGAAGGAAATTCTCAATAGCCAGATTTATCAGCTCCAAAACATCATTGTACAACAATGTAACCTCACTGGCGTCAATCCCCTCTCTCAAGAGATGGTTCGTTTTCTTAATCTTTGTTTTTTTCTGAAGTTTTTTTTATTTGAGTACTTGTTTCTCTTAAAATTCTGAATTTGCCTCTTGTACTTTGTTGGTAGTGATTGTTTTAGGAAATGTAGGAACTAGCATTGGTTAAGTTGACAGTTCTTAAGTTTTATGGTTAACTAGATCCACCTTTTACAGTACAGAAATAGTAATGAATTTATGTTTATGTAAGTCATAAGTGTAACATACTATATGTGGTTGTACAATTGAAGGATTAAATTTTTAAAAAGAACTTTTTAAAGGCTTTCTGTCATTCTTGCTGTTATGCATAATTTCTTATTTCTTTTGTTCCATATGCTCCAAAAGAGACAAGAAAGTCCCATCTTCCATGCTTGCTCCTTTTTATTTCCAAGTGTATCTAATTTTTTTTGATGACAAAGTGTATCTAATTTCTAACACATGATTGCTTTCTTAGGTGTCCTTGGTTAATTAGAATACAAGATTTCACATCTGTTAAAGCCAACCTTCATGCAACAATAAGTCGTTAGTATCTTGTCCAGATTCTTTGACATGTGCAACGCTAACTTACAAGTATCCTTGCCTCTTTCTTAAACAGTCCACACTTGAAGTAGCACCTCATACTGGACATAAAAAAAGCGAGCTACTTTCTTCCCATCACTTAGTGGTCATAACGTTTTCCACCCATCCCTCCCGTCTCCCAACCTAAAGGTCCAAATAAAAGTTTTTATCTATAAAGACCTTGTCCCTTCCTCCTTCATTTCATTTTATTTCACCCTTCCATGTATCATTACATACTCTATGAAAGAGTTCCTTAACTTTCCAGTTTAATTTTTAATGGAAGAACTCCCTGACTGCATTCCTTTCCCAATCTTTAATGACCCTCCTAAAACTTATACTGATACCCTTAAAGGTCTCAGTGAAGTAATCAGTTATCAAAGTATCTTTCTCTTTACTAATCCATTTACATGTGTATATGCATTCTCTATGGCTATCCCTTCAGACTATACATCCTTTCAAAACCTAACACTAGAGTCATCATTCATCCTAGAGCCAATACATCTATCCACTCAGTCCCTCACCAGAAATCATCCACCGCGTGCTATTCCAGTTTTAGTAGATATGAAATTACCCGATACCTGTATAGACTTACTCGGTACTTGTGTTTGTGGGAGCTTGCAAGTACTAAGCTCCCCTAGACACCAGTGTCATAAAAAATTTAGAGCTTGAATGGGTTAACGGATTGAAAAGTAGCCGATAAGCATTGTGTGCTGAAATTGATTTTATAAATAAGTTGTAATGTATCATCTTTCTTCTCCTTAAAAAAGTAGTTATGTGATCGTGTAGAAGTGCTAAAATTGATAATAAGCAGTTAAAATGTTTGGTTAAAAAGTGTTGATAAATAATTTTTCCATTAAAATGACTAATATATCCTTAAAGTTATTTTCAAAAATTATATATTAAAAAGTATGTACACAAGGAGAAGAACAAACAACAGAATGTAATGGAAGCGATTTTAAGAGTCATGTTTTGAGAGGAGAATTTTGAAAATTTATATAGTTTTAGGCAAATTAGAAGTGCTTGTTTGCCGAAAAGCGATAAGTTGGAGGTGACCAACTTGTGTCTTATGTTGATTTTGGCTTATAAGCAATTTATGTGTTTACCAAACATGTAGTTAGTAGATATAATAACTTTTGATGACACATTATCCTCTTGAGATTATCCCCATAATCATCTTCTTAGAAGTGCTGTATTGAAGGTGAATTATCTCTTTTCTCTTTTGATACAGAGAAATCCGTGTTATGTGTTTACCAAACATGTAGTTAGTAGATATAATATCTTTTGATGACACATTATCCTCTTGAGATTATCCCCATAATCATCTTCTTAGAAGTGCTGTATTGAAGGTGAATTATCTCTTTTCTCTTTTGATACAGAGAAATCCGTGTGGAGCCAACTCTTAGGACCAACCACAACTTTCAAAACTCGGGGATAATGAGCCCACACCCCTATCTCCTGATTCCTAACCTCTCTCTGTATCCTCTCTACCAAATTTCCCTTCCTTTCTTCCCTAGAAAATTTTTGATCAATTTCTCCAGTTTGTTTGCTCGTAAATACTACCACGATACATGATTTATAAGTTGTTCACAAAAATGAGATTCCTCTGCTGAATTAATTTTTCTATTCTTGGATTTGTACATACATAGGCTACAATTATCAAACCTCATCTCATTACATTGGGTGATTTGGGAACTTATTTCTGCTGATGGCTCATTCATTTTTCTTCCGTTGTGCAGGCTGCAGGATCTCTTTCAATAAAAATTGGTATGACTCCTTGGCCAAAATTAAAATCATGATGCTTGTGTAGTTGAGTAAAAAATTTAGTTGACTTGGATCCCTTCTGAGAATGAACACACAGGAGCTCATATTGACATATTCATTTATTACTCTTATATTATTTTTTGCACATTGATTATACTACGTGGAGCATGTTGCTTTTGTTGGGTGGTTCTTTCATTTTATTCTGTTTGATTTGCTTTTTACTTATATATTTGTTTTTTATTTTATTTGCTTTTTACGTATCATCTTTTTAAAAAAATTATTTGCTTTAGTAGTAGTTTTTTTTTGTTGCCAAGTATAACATTGCTTTTATGTACCAGAATTACTTGTCTTGATGTTTAAGGTGAACTTGCTTAACAATCTAAGTTGCTACTGTCATCTTATATTTACAAGCTGATGCTTTGATCCAAATTATATGTAACGCGTCTTTTTAGTTATTAGCGTAAATGACGCTCTTGACTTCTTCAATTTTTGTGCAAGCTACTCTGATTCCATTTGTATTCTGTTAGTTTAACATCATCTGTTGCAGGCAAAAGGCCAAGGGATCTCCTAAACCCCAAGGCAATCAAGTATATGCAATCTATTTTCTCTGTCAAAGACGCAATCAACAAGAAGGAAATGCGTGAAATTAGTGCTCTTTTTGGTGTCACAGTCACACAGGTGTGTTGCTTTTTCACAGTTTTTAGTAATTATTTCTCCATTCTATCTGGCTTGAATTTTGTTTAAAACTTGTCTACATTAGTGAATGTCGATTATTTTAAATGTGATTGGATTCCTTGTCTAGAATTTGAGTTAAGATCATAGATCAAGAAGAGCAATTGTTTGACTTGTAAATCTCAGTATCTCTCATTTGTTTCATGAGCAATGGTTTGACTTGTAAATTTCAGTATCTCACATTTGTTTGATGCTATGAAGTGCAATAATCCTATGCTCATGAGTTGTCATTGTTCAAAAGAATTTTTCCATGGAATGTCACTCTCAAAAACTATGAAAGGAGCATATGTTGGTGGCATTTGCATACTAGTTGCACCATCTTTCTTTAGTTCAGTTTTGCTATTTTGGATATTAGGAGCACACTAGTGCTTTCGAGAACAGGCTATTATGGAATTATGCACCTTTTTGTGTTTGATGATGTAGCTCCTTGGCCCTTAGAAATACATTCCCCTTTCTCCTTCGCTTTTTTGGGTGGTTTAGGTATGGAAAGATTCCTTAATCCCTTCTGCATAGACATTCAGTAGCTTTCCCTGGTGCAATTTAAGCTGGAAGATGATATAAGATCTGTGCATTCTCCGATTTCATCTTCTCTGACAATTTTCACGTTGTTTGTTTGAATATCATCTTTGCATTTGCAGGTTCGGGACTTCTTTACAGCTCAGCGCACAAGAGTTAGAAAGTTCCTGAGGTTGTCTAGAGAGAAGCCTATCATAACCAATATATCTATTGAAGGGCCTTGTCTGATCCCATTAAGTTCTGATCCTAGTTCACAAACAGAACCAGTTCCCCTAGACAGTGCGGTACCAACCTGTACAGAGGAGGGGCCATCTTATTTGACACAAGATGAGGTCCTAACTGCCATAGAGGAGAGGGATAGGCATTTTGTTGATAATATCCTTACTTTAATGTGTAAGGAAGAAACCTTTTCTGGGAGGGTTAAGCTGATGGACTGGATCTTGGAAGTACAAAACCCCTCTGTGCTATATTGGTACGTAAGAGTTGTGGTCGTTGAATTTTAATTGTATTCTAGTTTACTCCTTTTCGAATATAATTTGTTTTCTTAATAACATATTTGTAGGTTTTTAACTAAAGGGGGTGTAATGATCTTATCTGCATGGTTGAGTGAAGCAGCTGGAGAAGAGCAAACCAGCGTTCTTCATCTCATCCTGAAGGTCCATATTGATCCTTTAATTTTAGATCATTGGCCCATTATGTCATTTTTTCTTCTAGAATATTGTTGTTCTAATTGTTACTTGGTTATCAGGTACTCTGCCATCTTCCTTTACACAAAGCATTTCCTGGACATATGTCTGCTATACTGCAGAGTGTTAACAGTCTGCGATTTTATCGGACTCCAGGTGTGTTGTCCTCGCATTCAACAACTCCTTATTTTATCTTTAGGTATCTTTCTGTTAAAAAGACATTAAAAAACTTAATCTGCTCATCTCCATGGCTTATACATTTCTGGTAGCTTGTCTGAAGCTTGTGTATTATTGATATTATGCCGCATTACAGAATTTCCTGAAACTTAGTTGGATATTTAGGAAACATGTCAATCAAAGTAAGCACAGCTTTTTATACTAGCAGTGGCATCTCTACTGAACTATTTACTCAGTGAATCACACATTACATAGTGCTGCTCTTAAGAATTATGCGTATATGGCATGTCATATTAGGACATTACTTTCAGAAATCACTGTATTGGTAATGCAATCATTTTCAGTATTTCGTTATCTCAGACGATCTGTTGTGTTTTTGCTGTCAAATAGGACAGTGTTCTTGGAAACTATTTCACTGGCAATACATTCAACTATATCTTTCTTAACTTCAGATGAATTTTTGGACTTTCAATCTGTAAATTTTTTAATGATCCTGATTTGATACTTCAACTGATCATATTCTGAGAGACAATGGAAAGCATCATCGAATAAATATGTTTATTTCTAGCTGCATCAGTTATATAAAATTTGTTAGATAAGAAGACACTACTAAAATAGATGATGTTGCATTTTCTTTTATTTGTATCAGCCGGTCAGAGTAATTTGCTATTTCGGTGGGGTTTATACTGTATTTTCATGATAGCTGGCTTCTGTACTGCACTATATTTGTATTTTTTGGGATGGGGAGGGGGTGATGGGTGGTTGAGAAACCCTTCTTTAGCTCCATCAGTATTTTGGATCTCATTCATCTCATTTGAAGATCAGATATCTCAGACAGGGCAAGTATTTTGCTTGCAAGATGGAGCAACATATTTGCAAAGAGCCAGGCTATGAAGAAACGTAATGGGGTTAAATCTGCTAGTGATATGCATGATGAGTTGTTATTGCAGCAGAGGTAAGCTTTGGTCGTGCCTCAAAAATACCTTTATGGCTTTTCTCAGTAATCAACACATTTGTTGCTGTTTGCAGCATTAGCGAAGTTGTGGGTAACGAAGTATGGAACTCAAAAATTGAGGACGTTGTAAGTTTATTGCGTACTTAAATGTATTTGGTTTAGAAGATGCTGGTTTTTTTGAATAAAAAAGAAGAGCGGATTTTTATTCTTGCTTGATCATTTTCCTTCTGTTTGGTATTCTAGGAAGAAGCTCGTGCAAACCTCTGTGGGACTTCAGAGAATTCAAGGTCTGGTGTGTTCTTACTACCTTGCTTTTTGTAATTGTTGATGAATTTCTAAGCACACACCTCTCTTTCAGGAATTTGGATTCTCCACATCCAGTTAAATTGCTTATGGCATCTTCAGATGACTCTAACAAGAGGCTTAAAGGAGCTTTGGTGACTAGTATCCTTATATTCCCCTATGGTTAATTCAATTTGTCAATAACTTGCAGTGTTAGGTCTTCATTTATCTCGATTGAATGATGGCTCCTCGTTCCGTGGACAATAAACTGTCGTTGGAAGAAATTTTGATTTCTCATTTGTTTCCATGCTTTGGAATCATTGGTATTCAGAAGTTTCCATATGACATACTCATCAAATAGATTTGAGCATGGTAGGGAAAATCGCTATGGTTTTTCCTCTCCTTTTCTGATTTCTTACACTTGCATAGAATGCCTTAACTACTTCAGAAACTCGAGAGCGCAGAAAAGTTCAGCTAATGGAACAACCAAGCCAAAGAACAACGGGAAGGAGCCTAGGAAGACCAGCACCTGCAACTCAAGGCCGCCCACTCTCAGCAGATGATATCCAAAAAGCAAAAATGCGTGAACAGTTTATGCAGAGTAAATATGGGAAAACTAATAATGATGAGAGTTCTTGGGTGAAGCCTCAAGCTCCAAATGGAATTACCTCTTCACCAAATGGTATCTTGCTTGGAGCTCCAAAATTGCAAGATTGGCCTAAAGTTGAGGAATGTGAGAAGCTCAATAGTGTTGCCTCTAAAGGGACCAGTCAGCTTGAAAATCATCTCAAGTTGAGTTTTGACGTAGAGGAACCTCCATCGAAAAGGTGCAAGAAAATGCAGATCCCTTGGCGGAAACCACCAGGTAAATTTGCTGTTGTTGTTGCTGAAAGACCGTTCTTGTTAATCTGTAGATTTCAGAAAAGGAAGAACATTAGTTTTTTTAATAGGTTGAAAAGGCAATCTCACCCATCTTGTCTAATATTATTGTTCAATTTTTTCTCCACAATTCCCTTCATTATTCTTTTTGCTTTCTCTATCCCATTTTATGTGACACACTTTCCTTTTTAGTCTCTTTAAAAAAGAATGTCACCTTTCTATAATTAGAAACTATCTAACTTTAAAATTCCCCTTTTACCCTTTTGACATGATTTATAGCCACACAAACGGTCAAGGTTTAGACCACACATTTCAGAAGTTTTCGTTTCTTTCTTAAACTTTGTGCCAAGTGAAATGGTGCCACATAAATTGGGACGGGAGTGAGTAATACACAAGATTCAACTGTGAGAATCGTCTCTAGTAAAGTAGTTAGCAACTCAACCTTGGTCTCTAACTTGCCATAAAATATGGTTAGCATGGTCTTCAACTTGTCAGAAAAAAGAAAAGAAAAGGAAAATGATCTTTTTGAGCTTTGCTCTCTAATTTTATTTTCATGGTAGTCGAGTTAAAGACGATCAGGTTTCTGTTGTCTTCCATAAATTCATTATTCTAGGAACTATTTACTGGGGAAATATAGATGTTGCTTAGTAAAACTACTAGCTCAACTCTCAAAATATCTCTGAAGCAAACAGTTAGTTTTTATTGTTAAACTATCAATTGAGCATCTTAGGAGTGAGGTCTTGATCTTTTAATCAAAATACGTAACTGTTTCCATTTGGTTTTTGATGTTGTATTTTAAAAATCTCTTGGAAATTATGGGTTTTCTGTGGAGCAGTTGATTGCCAAGTGTGCCTTCTCATTGTGAAGGAAGTTCTACTTGCAAGTAAAGGGAAATTTTTTGCCTCACTTGGATGAGAACGTCCACATTTTGCCTAAAATCAATCAGACAGGAATAATCAGAAAAAGAAGCTGTGAAGTAAAGGTTAATGCCTGTCTTGGGATGATATCAATCTATTTTTTAAGTTAACTGCTTATAGTGTGCTTTCATAGATGATCAGTATGACAGGCCAGAACACGATAAATTAGGTTGGAATATACTGTACCTCATAGTCTTTTATACTTTTGACTCTTCGTAGCCATATGCTTTTTACGAAAGGAGTTCAGTAATTTCAGTAATTATTCAACAGTCTGGAGTTCAGTAATTTTTTGTTTTCTCTGTTTGTGGTCTTTGGTTGTTTTTAAATTTGTGGACAATGGTTTACACTAAAAAGGATAAAAACACGTCATTTTCTGCTGTGATACTCTTTCTATCATAAGAATTTTACTCTCTTCTAGTTTCACATCTACACACTATTATCATCCCTTACCATAGCTACCAGTTGTCCTGCAAAATTTTTAGGGGTCGTTTGTGTTAGTTACGTTGGGGTTAGTTATGCCTCTATTAGTTATCCTAGTATAATTTCTTATTGACTGTTCAATTTTCTTGAATTAAATATTGTAACATGCATCGCAATATTGCATAATTTTTATGTTAATTGTTTACAAAAATACCCTTCAACTTATTTAGTTGTAAAAGGGTTTGAGGGACCTCATGGGTATTTTTGTCATTTTCATTGTTTATCCCGGAATAACTAATTCCGGTACTATTCCACCCTCCAGTAGGGATAATCTATTTCTGTACTAATTACTAATTTTTGCATAACTTATCGTTGATTAATACCCAAACAAGGAATAAGGCACTACTAAATTTTACCTCTGGACTATCTATGCTTGTTCAGTAGACTAGGCGATCCTTAGAGAATGTAATATTATTACAGGGTGTTATTATCTAGCAGAATTTTAGTTTGGTCAAACACTGAAGCTAGTTTGGGACGACATGTTGATGAAGCCAAATGTATGTTCCTATTTTCCCATTGTTTGGTGTTTGGATTTTATTTTTGTTTTTGACAAAGATGTCTAAGATATAGGTGTGTTTGGCCCTGATGGGAAAGATATTCGCAAAAAATGTTGTAGTCAAGGAAAATATTTTGTAGTGATCAGTTTATTTTTCTTTACAAATATTCCAACACTAAGGGTAGTTTGGTAGCTGATTTGGAGGTGAGTTATGCATGTATTAAAATTCTACATAAGTAATACCACGTCCCAGCATTACTAATACACCATATTCAGTACTTTTCTTATACTTAACCAAACGATCCCTCAGATAATATTTCAGTATCTGATTCTAAACGATATCGTCAAAACACTAATAGCATACCTTGCAGTCTTGCACATAGCACGTATCTATTTTTAACCCACAAAATTTGGAGATGATCTAAAAAATGGTGACCTGACCTGACTTAAAGATGTTTTTCACACAAAGTATTTTCATCTAAAACGTTTTTCTCTGTACAAAGAGTACCTTTGAAAAGAAAATGTCTTCTTTAAATGCGTGAACAAGTAATTGCCTGCTCTTCCTATAGCTGACTAACCCCAACCCACTTTGCCCAGTTTGGTGGCATTTTTTTTTTTTTTGATAACCGAGAAATCCGTCTGTGACCCGCCCTTTGGACCAATCACAGCTTTCTAAACTCGGTGGATAATGGGCCCGCCCCTCTACCCTTCTCCACTTAAATACCAGGCTTCGCTTTGTATGGTCTGGGACTTGAACCTGCGACCTAAGCCACAAATCCTCCACCTTTTGCCACTCAAGCTAGGGCTTGGGGGCCAGTGATAAATCCTCCACATTTATCAGACTAAACAAGAGGAAACAACGGTTCCAAGAGGCCAACTCCAAATTTGAAGCTTAACAAACTAAAAAAGTTGGTCAATTTGTAGTTTGATATGGGATTGGTTGATTCTTGTTGTGCTCCAACTCTGTGGACTGGGAAAACAAGCAAGTGTTTCAAATGTTAATGGTGGTACAGACATGGTTATCCTTTTGATGTTGGACCGTCATGTGATTATTTTGTTTTATTCTCTTGGCGGAGACGAAAGTAGGGGTGACAAACAGCACTTTTTTTATGTAGCTCAAGGTCTTGATCTGTTTACGTGTGTCGTTGGATCCAATTATTCAATTTTGAAACTCATATAATTCTGGTCCTTCTACCCTCCCCCTCCTTCACGGCTCGATGTGTAGAAAATCCAGGATGTGGAAGTTGTAGACTCATCCTCTTCATATCAAGAATAAAAAATAGCTCCGATTCTGATCACCAAGTTGTTACTTTTCAGTATGTCTTACTGTGTCCGAAGTTGCAAATAACTTTTTAAAACAACATTTCTAAGTGGTATATGTTGACTTTCGGTTTAACAAATTTGAATCATCCACAGCTGGTAGTATCTTGTTGGGAGATGATGTACGCATGCAAAAGTTGGAACTCTTGTCTGTTAATGGTCATCCTTATTATGCAGTTATCCTTTTTTAACCTCTCCTGTTTGATGCAGGGTTGCAGCTCAGCTATGCATGGAAGGTTTGTGCAGGGGGTGAGAGTAAAGAAGTCGACGTTCAGAATAGGAGAGTCCGTCGAGAGACGGAAGCCATTTACAGGACAGTCCAGGAAATCCCATTGAACCCCAAGGAGCCTTGGGATCCTGAAATGGAGCCTGATGACACATTAACCACCGAACTCCCGCTTGTGCAATTACCAGATGCGGAAGGTGCTGAAACAGGTGTTTTGCCGCAGGAGGACAGAAAAACTGAAGCTGCTGCATTGGCTAGTACGTCAAATGGCATTGCAACTACAGCAAAACCTGATTTAGAGTTGCTTGCTATACTGCTAAAACATCCAGGGCTGGTTTATGATTTGACGTCTGGCCAAGGTGGAAACTTGCCCAGTGAGCAAATTGTAAAGCTGCTTGATTCGATCAAAGCCAATGAGAGGAATTCACTGAGCATTCAAACAAGTTTAGCCAGAGACGCTGAGAAGAAAGTTGAAGTTCCTCTTCCATCCCTTACTCTTTCCAGTGATCCTGGAACGGTGCGTTATTTAGTCACATTTTGTACAGATTTTAACTATTATGGAATTTGGGCGGTGCTTTCGTTTCCTCAGTTGTCTCCTCTCCTCTCTTTCCCATTTTTTTCTCCACCTCTTCTCGTTTAGTTTTTCCAGACAAGTAAACTATAAACAAATAAATAAAATAATCATAAAGCAAATGAAGCCTGCACTCTGAATCACGTTGGTAAATACAAGTTGTCTTCCTAGTTAGCACTGTACTTTGAGAATCTCCGCTTAGTTTGAGGTCCCCCTAATTCAAACAAGGATGTTTCACTTATTCATGAAAAATAAAACAAGATAACTAATATCCTGGGTTAATTGTTGTGCTATACTATCTTCTTGACATCTTAGTTCTTTTCTGAAATGGGCTCTAATTCTTTTTTAACTTTTTTTGTCTTTCATGCAGAGTGGATTGTCAATGCAGAACTTTGTTAAAAATCCTTTCTCACAGAGAAGTTCAATGGTGGTTCCAGAAGCAAATGATGTGCCCCAACACGCGGTGTTGGTCCATTCACAGGAAACTCATCAAGCTAGCAGTTTGGTGCATCAGCAGATGCCCCTTGTGCCACAATTGGCCCAACAGTTGGCACTGCTTCAAGCAGCTGCAGGGGCTTATGGTGTGCCCCAACACGCCCCGTTGGTCCATTCACAGGAAATTCATCAAGCTAGCAGTTTTGTGCATCAGCAGATGCCCCTTGCGCCACAATTGGCCCAACAGTTGGCACTGCTTCAAGCAGCTGCAGGGGCTTATGGTGTGCCCCAACACGCCCCGTTGGTCCATTCACAGGAAATTCATCAAGCTAGCAGTTTTGTGCATCAGCAGATGCCCCTTGCGCCACAATTGGCCCAACAGTCTGCACTGCTTCAGGAAGCTGCAGGGTCTTATGGAAATGATCATCGACCATCTCCACTAAATCCTAGTATAAACCAGACAGTCCTTGCAAATCCTATGCATTCACAATTATCCGCCGCCTCAGAATCAGCAGTAAATAGAAATAATTACTCTTTCTCTGGATTGGCGGAATACAATCAACAGAGTGCCACTGCAGCAGCAAGAATCCAAGGTGTAACATATGGTAATATTCGATCTTCACAAATGCCTATAGCTAATATACAACAAAGAACTATTAGCCTACATGCACCTCAGATGTCACCACAAAGGCCACAACTACAAACACAGAGGCAACCTGCATATGCACCTGAACATATGTGGGGGACTATACCGGGATCTGCTTTAAATCGAGGTTATCCAGAAAATGCCATTCCTAACCATTATAATCCACATGTTGCCGGGCATGTAGAACCAGGATTACAACAGGCTGCATGGAGAGGAAACAACAACTATGGCGAGGGAGCTGGGTTTGAATCTTGGAGTCTTGATAATAGACCTGTTAGGCGTCAGGAACAGGTAGCAAGATGGAACTACGCAGAACCTCAGATGAATATGAGAGACCGCTACAGACCTGATTGGTCTGCATCCCGTGATCCTGGGCATTATTCTGGTTATCGTGGTCGTGCCGATGGTGCGAGTAGGAGGCGGGGTGACAGGAGAAGGAGAAGATAACCGTCAAACGCCTGGCCATTTGATTCTTTTGACGAGAGATTCGTTAGTGTTTACATCAGAGTAGAACGTTCTCAGAGAGGGGGTTGCATTTTGCAACATGAAATGGTTGTAAACTTGTATTGTCAGCATGTCACATTACTTTATTTTGTTTCTCAATTGATACCTGTCAACAGCAAAATAGAAAATGGGAACTCAGTTCACTTGGGATCATGCCAAGAATCTTTTAGAAAAAAAAGAAGAAATTTATCCTAGTCAAGGGTTTACTATGTCTTGATTGAGTCCCTACTTGAAATGATGTGCAGCTTTCATTAGAATTCAGGGTCGTTTGGTTGGAAATAAGTTATTTCGAGATCAATTATCTTGGGATAAATTATTCCACCATATATGGATAACTTATTCCATTACTAAGGTATAAATTCTTAGGACTGTCTAATACCTCCAGTCAAACGCAGGATAAAATAACCTTTTATTTTATTCGTGGGATTAGTAAACGTTATATCTCATACCAAATGACTTCTCTTAAAGATAATTAGTTACTTTCATGTTTCAATTTATTTGACCTATTTTAATTTGACATGGAGTTTAAAAAAATAAAGAAGATTTTTGTAGTCTTACATTAAATATATGTCAAATATATCAAAATGATATTAATCTTGTGGTTTATTAAACACGTAACATGAAAAATTAAAATTAAACTAAAAAATAAAAGAGTAATTCTTTTATAAATGCACACACTTAAACAGAAAATATGTCAAACAAATTGATATAGAGGGTAGAGGGAGTATTACACTAGTATTAATATTTAATACTCCTTATATATCAATTTATACGACGAATTTGAAATTTTGAATATCAAATTTTTATATATAAGTTGAGACAGACAAAGTAATTATTATTGGCAGAAGAAAATGAAGTTCATGATCTCAGTTAGACTTAAAACCATTTGAATTAGCTGAATTTATGTACTTCGTCCGTTTCAAGTTTTGTGTCACATTGGGACCGATCGAGGAAGTAATTTTTAAGCTAAAAGTAATACTTTTTCAAGCGCCAAAGCTTAATATATATATATATATATTGAATAAATTTTCTGAAACTTATCAGTTACAGCTTGTAGTACCTTTTATTTATAGGCGAGCTGGCGAAGTATCTGATTCTCTCTTGCACATACTAACGACTAACGGCGAAAATCGGTACTGAACCAATTACGACTCCTCGCCGGCGTTTCACATCATTTCTTCATCGGAAAACTTCAACAGTAGTCGGAGCGACTCTCCAATTTGATCCAGCTGAAGAATCTCTAACATGGTAGCTAGATTCATCACAAGCAATCTCAATCGAATACGAAAAACCTACTCAGTATCAACAACTCTCAGTAGGCACAACTACGATTTCAATTCTCTATGTTCTTCTCCGTATTTGCAATTGGATGATGACGATTCAGCTACACGTGTAGTGAATCCGAGTTTCATGCTGCAGAAGAGATGGCATACAGGCGATTCACATTCTCATCATCATGATCATCACGATCTCCGCTCCGGTAAAGACGGCGAGAGGATTTTTCGGCTTGGACTTGCTGCTGACATTGGCCTCGCCGCTAGTAAAACTTTTACAGGTTATGTATGTGGAAGCACCGCCATTATTGCTGATGCGGCTCATTCTATCTCCGATGTGGTATGTGTGATGTATCTAGTCATGTATATTGTTTAGCTAGATTTATTCTATAAATGAACTCTCAGTTTGTTCTGCTTGTATCTGTTGACCATTTGACAATAGAGATTGTGAGTTTCCAGAAAATGAAGAACATAAAATCTGGTTCTACTTGCTATTAAACAAGCCGAACATAAGTTTGATAGAACTTGATAAACGAGCAAAAAAGCTATTGATGAAAGCAAACTGCATACTTCATTATAAATTGCAGACTAATTTATAGAGTTCACAATCTCAACTGAAATAAATAATTAAAAAAAAAAAACTCTTCAGAATTAGGGATAAAACTGCTACACAGATTACAGCGAACTTAGACTGTTGCAGTTTTTATGCATTTTTGGAACACTCCTTGCTTTAAGAGCTTCAAACTCCAAGTTTTTGCCCAAGATGTTGAAATTTGTTGCTTGGTAAAGTCTTGGTGAAGATATCAGCTAGATGCTCCTCAGTCACATCGCCTTTTTTTGCATTTCTCTCAAGAACAAAAGCTTGATGTTGAAGTGTTTAGTTTTACCATGAAATACAGGATTGTGAGAAATTGCTATCACAAATTGGTTGTCCACGAATACTTCAGTTCCTTTTGTTTGATTCATATGCATATCAACAATATTTTCCTCAACCACAACACTTGATTCATTGCTGCTATTGCAGCCACAAATTCTGCCTCTGTAGTAGATTGAGCCACAATAAACTACTTCTAATGCTTTGTTATGGCCTTTGCAGGTTCTGAGTGGTGTATCATTGCTGTCCTTTCAAGCTGCAAGGGTTCCCAAGGACAAAGAACATCCTTATGGTCACTCTTGATTTGTATTTACACTTTTAACTCTTTTGATCTTACATCACTTTGTCTACATGGCTTTACCTTTTGATTTTGTGCTTGTGTTTACTTGTGTAATAGGTGGACGTAATAGCTGCCAACCTAATTAGATTTAGTTAACTGAGGATTGTTCGTTCCCGTGGTCGATTTGATAAAATTAACCAATATATGATATTGTAAAAGAGCTGACATGATATGAAACTTATATCATATCTTCTATATTTATCAATGAATATGAATCTCATCACTGTCGGCTCCTTGAACTTTACAACTTAGTGGAAGGTAGTCAGCCCTAGAGACATGTACTCCTTCCGTTTATATTTTGTTTGACACAGTTGATTGGGGGAAAGGAGTTTGAAATGTTGACTTGTATATTATATTAGTTGTAGTAGGAAAAAAACATCAAAGTAATGGTTCATAAGTAAGCAAAATAGAGTCTAACACTTTGAACACTCCCCCACCCCCAAAATAGAAAGAAGACATAGCGGATCTTGCTTGAGATAAAGACAGTCCAATGTAACATTTCTGCAGATATACTGTTCAGATGCCTTTTATCCTCTACCCTGTTGATTCTCTGTTTTCCTTACTCCTTTACCTGTGTGTCTCTTCCAAATATAATTGCCCAGTGCTGCCCTATGGTAGCTTTGGTACCAATATCTAGATTACTTATTAAAACCACTATGTTGTCTGATCAAATCATGCTTCTGGTTTTGCATCTGATTTTACTTTTTACATGAACAGGACATGGTAAATTTGAAACTCTTGGAGCTCTTGGAATTTCTGGTGTGCTGTTGGCTACTGCTGGTGGCATAGGATGGCATGCTTTAGATGTTTTGCTGGTATGTATCTATCGCTGGTATTCATTATATCTAGGAGTCTATATTCCCTATTGTTTGAATTTTTTTGAAACATTTCTTGCAGGGATTGTGGTCTGCAGCGCCTGAAGTTTTTAATCAGTCAATGACTCATCAGCACGTGCATGAGCAACATCACCATGGAATTGATATGGATCACCCTATCCTTGCTTTGAGTGTGACGATACTCTCTATAGCTGTTAAAGAAGGGTAAGTCATTTTCACCTTCAATCAGAAAAATAGAAGAATTTGTTACCTTTTCTATATGTATCCATAGACATATTACCTTCAAGCCCGTTTTATCTTTAAGAAAGACAGTTTCTTTGTATTGATTTTACATTTATGAAAGACAGTTTCATTGTATTGATTTTATTGTTATGAAATACAGTTGCTTTATATTGATTACAAAAGCAAACAATGAAGCTGTTATACTTTCTGTCAGATGCGCATGTAGTATAGCAGCTTCATTAATGAAAGCTGTGAGTTTGTTCCTATATTTATGTTCAACTTTTTTCTTGTAGATTATACTGGATAACAAAACGAGAGGGAGAAAGGGTTGGCAGTGGGCTAATGAAAGCCAATGCCTGGCATCATCGTGCCGATGCAGTATCTTCTTTTGTTGCTCTCATAGGGGTTGGTAATGATCTTTATACTCAAATTTGACCTAAATATGTCTCTTTTATTTTAGCAAACGAGTTTTCGCCATTGATTTGTCTAATTGTATCATTGAGAACTAAACAAAATGTGTGTACTGGTTTTACTTTAAGCATGAAATGCTAATATGTACTGTGGAGTATTACTATTGGTTTGGTCTAGAATAGTTTATGATGTTTTATATTCACAATATCGTTTTTTTAATAAAGTACATTTATGTATGTAATGTCTACAATAGTAACAACATACCCAGTATAGTCCCACAAGTGGGGACTAGGGAGGTTAGGATGTACACATACCTTACTCCTACCGTTGCGGGGTAGAGAGGTTGTTTCTGATATATCCTCGGCTCGAACGAGAAGGTAATCGAAGCAGAGTTGCAAGGAAATATGACAACAAGAATATCAAGTTAGAAAGAAAGCAAATGAAGCAATAGATTGTAGAACACCTTGGAGCATAGGAAACTACGTGATTACTAGATACTACTACTAATAAGGCTAGGGGGGGGAGGGATGTGGCTAGCCCCTCTCTCCCATCAAATGAGTGACAACACTTGGCTATCTACTAACATTCTACACTAATCCGCGATCTCCACACCTTTCTATCTATGGTCATGTACTCAGTAAGTTGGAGTTATGTCATATGCTATCTAATCACCTCCCCCATCCAAGTTCTTCTCCGGTCTACCTCTACTTCCCCTAACTCCTGTTATAGCTAATCTCTCACACTTCCTTACTGGCGCATCTGCGTACCTTTTCTTCATATGGCTGAACCATCTCATTTTCGCTTCTCTCATCCTGTCAGCTTCAGGAGCCACTCCCACCTTGCCCGTATAACTTCATTCTTAATCACATCTCTCTTTCTAGTAAGCTCACACATCCATCTAAGCATCTTCATCTCTGCTACACTCATCTTTTAAATGTGGGCATTCTTGATGGGCCAACCACTCCACCCCATACAACAAGGCTGGTCTAACGATCACTCTGTGGAACTTACCCTTAAGCATTGGCAACACATTCTTATCGAACAGTACTTCGTATGTGAGCCTCCATTTCATCCACCTTGCTCCAATAAGATGAGTGACGTCATCATCAATCTCCCAGTCTCCTTTGAGTTATAGACTCAAGATATTTGAAGCTTCTTCTTTTATTTTGGGTATGACTTGTGCATCGATATCTTTAGACTCAAGGGTCAGCCTCCAAACTTCCAACCTACCGTTAAC